AACACAAAGCATATTAGACCCGAAAGTTAGCTGTACAATAGAAGGCGGTCCTTTACGTTCGCAGAAACGTTTTCTCACAATGCAAATCCCTAGGATTTTCTTGAACAACGGCTCAACTTGAAATGTAACACAGGTCGTCATGTTTTGCTTCGGAACAGAAAAACTGGTGAAGTGAGTGGAAACCCCAATGAAGAATTTCTCATGTACAGATTGCATTCCGACCAACACTTTTCGGATCTGTAAGAGAATCGCTGGCAAGAAACCGTTTCACAAATTTTTGCCCAAGTTCTTCCACAGATCGGCCTATTGGCTCGGTATTCGACCGTGCGGGCGTTGGTTAGTTTTCTTTTTGGCCGGAATCAGGTTGCGGAAGGGGGGAAGGCGCTTGCGCTCCTACAAACACCAACTTTTGCGACCTCCAATCAGGCCCTCTGTCAAGTAAATCATGTTGAGCCCTACTTCATCGATATGTTGGGAGAACATGACCGTTCAACATTAGTCCCCTGTCCGAAATCTTTTACAAGTCCCAGTTTGGTCTGAGCGCGCAATGACCAAGAAGCGGCGTATCCCGTTCTGACAATTCAAAGGATTCCAGGGTTGCATCGCAAAGTTCAAACCTGTTCTTCTTGTAAATGAGGAAGGCATGGCGTGCAATCCAACTGTTGTGGATAGTTTTTGAATCCAGCGCAGACGCGGTGGCCAATGTCCAATCCATTTCAAGTTCTCAATGGCTTGCCCACTTTGATGAATGACATGTGCTGCTACACCCTTCATCCAAGATGCAACACACATGAGCATCGCTTTCGGAAAACATGTTCCGTGTCTCACCGGTGATTGATCGAGATCAAATCGTTTTTGGGGTCGTCATCATCGTCCCCATGCCCATCAGTGTGGTAACACACACACTTACACCAATGAATGCTCCTCTTCAATCACGGAAGCGGTGCAGTAGTAGTTCATGAAAACGGGCTCAACAATCTGATCATCAATCACCAACGCCTCAACAACGCATTGGGGCGGCGATCTCAAACTTCTTCTTCTTATTGGCAACAGCAACCCTGTCCTTACGTAGGGCATGCGCATCTCATCAATGAAAGCGCAACCCTTTTTGCGCCAAGGTTCTGTGGGCCCCCTTTCTCGATCCATGGTCGGAGTCATCATGACGGCATGCAGCTGGGTCGTGAAATGGGGCCGATTCTCAGCAACTTGCGGGGCTGCCCATGGCCAGGTGCAACTAAAGGAAGGAACTGGCGTCGATGTTGCAAAACATGTATTGTTTTGTGAACCCTTGGAAGCTTCAACATAAGCAGCACTGCCAGCCTCGTCACAATCAAAGAGCAACGAAGAAGACCGGCTGCAATTGGATATTCCTTTTTCTAGATCTTGTGTCAAACATGTGGAAGATGTGACCTGGCAGGAATCACGAGAAGTTCAACTTCAGAAAGCGCTCAAAAATTGGGCGGTCATCATTGGGGAATGGGATCCAAATGTGCCCTTTGTGCAACCCGTGCTTGCGCACGATTCGATCAATGTGCAATTCATGCTTTTGGGCGACATTTTCGGAAACAAAGTGCCTAGTACTTTGTTGAAACGCGCTAACAGCATCAAGAGGCTTGCAATTACTTGGGGGAGCTTGGCTTGTTTTTTCCATGTTCAGAATCTTTGCTGCGCACATTCATTTGCAATCTGAGGGAACAGGGCTATCCGGCTTCAAGTGCTAAAGGTGTGTTGGAAACCATTGCATTCATAAGACACACACAATGGCAATCGATGAGTGTGCGCAAGGCAGGAGATGCTGGGGAGCCGCCGCAAACAATTCATTCAAAGAGAAATCTCAAGCTAGCCCTCTCCTTGTCAAAACTTGCTTTGCTGCATTCGATTTTAAAACATGATGTTGATCTGTGGGACAGAGCTTTCAGTGGTACGGTGCTGTTTGTGACGTGGAAGAATGCGTTGCCCCTTATGCACTTCCATTGTTGTAGTCACATCCGGCAACACTGGCGGAGGAGCAATTGGCGTGTTGAACTGCTGTTTCAAACTATCGCCCACTGATTCGTTACCAAAAATGGCCCTGCAAAAACCAGTTTCCCAGACAGGTTTGGCAACATCTTGAGGTAACGAGTTCCATGCTGTATGCACTGCATCCTCCACATCTGAGATGTTTTCCAGGTTCCCACTGCTGGAAACATTTCAGAAATTTCAAGAAGTGAATTCGAACCTTCATCATTTATTACGCCTCCTTTTCCACGTAACACTATTAAGTCGCATGAAAAAGGGAACCCACCCATACCAACCCTAGGAGCCAAAATGTCGTCCA